AGGCCATCCCGGAAATCTCCCTTGCTGAGTGTGAAACCATGGCGGCTGAGGGTGCGGCAGGTCAGCCAGCTGGATGCACCCTTTTCTGAGGCCAGGTCGAGAACAGGGGCCAGCTCCCGGTGATCCGAGCGAAGAGCGTCAGCCATAGACTTGAACGCGCTCCGCTTCTCGGCCCGAACCGTCGCCTTGACCGTCCGGAGCTGAGTCAGAGAGTCGCCAAGAGACGACTCCTGCTCCAGCAGGCGAGACACGAGGCTAGCCGTGATCCTTCAGGATGAGGTGTACTGTTCAGCCACTGAACAAGGGTCTGCCATACCCAGTCCCCGACGCCGGCAAGGCAGAGAGAGTAGGGAGCGAACAGTTGTCCCAGGTGGAGCCTGATCCGTGATGGCCGGGATGAGCCGACCGCTGATTGCGTGTTCCAGCGGTTCAAGCAGGGATGGCGGGATGGAGGAGGTCCGGCAGAGGAAGGACCACTTGTTTTGCAGGCCCTGTGTGAAGGCGGAGTAGGCGGCCTGTGGCTGCGATGCAGCGATGGTCGTGAGCTGCGCAACTTCCTCACACCAGGTGGCGACCTTGGACTGGACAAATTGTTCTATAAACTCATCCGTGCCCAAAGGTGCACCAAGGTGGCGGCAACCATCACACGTGACCTGCACACCGGTCCCCTCGAACATCTCGATAGTAGCTGCGTACCTGGAGGGCTTGACCAGGAGGAGTGACTTCTGGGCATTGCAGTGGTAGCCATACCCAGGACCGTGGCTGACGAGATTGTCCCACCATTGGCGAACAGGCGTTAGCTTGCCACCGGCTGCAGCATCGTCCGCATACCAGCCCTGTTTCGCACCAGGCACTGCAACTTTCTTGATGAGCGGGAGGACTCCAAGCGCATATACGGGCATGGCCAGAGGGTCACCCTGAGTGGTACCCTCGCACGATAGCAAGCACTCTCCATCAACGAATAGGCGGGATGGTTGGCGGTAGGTGTGGATTGCAGCTGGCGCTATAGAGGGACAGAGGTGACGGATGTTCCGTAGGCAGGCTTCACTGTTAAGCCGGTTGAAGGCGTTCGAAGCGTCGGCGAGCAATATGGCATCCGCATCCTCCTCACGGTAGACATCTTGCATCGCATGGATGGCAGCTTCAATGCCGCACTCCTGACCGGCACAAAGTTGAAGGGTGCCCGCTGCATATTGGATATCTCTCCCGGTTACAGTGAGGATGGCTTTGCCGACAATGCGCCTGGCCACTTCGCCGATACCAATGGGTCGAACACCCGGCGACTTGTCAAGGGCTATTAATCTGCATGCGACGAGCGCCTCCAGTGTCGCTGGGTTGACGTATGTGGTAGCAATGCGACGAGCGCATGTTGCAAGCGAGTCACACAGCTCATCCGACGCTTCGGAGAACGCGGTGCACATGCGCCGCCATCCATCAGCGTCCATGCCCGATGGCCCAGCCGCGCCGTGGGTGTGCAGGGCGGCCTGGCGGATGACGTCACGGGTCAGGCTTGAGAACATCACTCTGTGGGGCTGAACAGGTGGCTCACCCCTGAGCAGAGACTCTGCATCAGCCGGCTCCCCTGCCGGATGTTTGCTGAAAAGAAGGTCACGGGTGGTATCAGTGCCGACAGTGGTGTCCAGGCTGAGAACTCCTTTGCAGCCACCACTTGATAGCTGACGGAGGGCGGATGGTAGTTTGCCGGAGGACACATTAGCGGCGGACGCCCTTGCCAGGTCAGGGGGGGGTCGATCGGGCGGCTGGCTGGTGCCTGTCCTGGACCTGCTTCTGGATGGTGGTTGACTCGCGGAGCAGTTCCGGCAGGCTTGCTGTTCGCCAAAGTTCTAGACGTCTCCTTAGGTGTTCCTGTGGAGACGGCTTGGTATGGTTGCCCTGCGGGTTCTGTAACATCAGGTGTGGGAAGACCATCGCCGCCTTGAGTGCGACATCTTCTGAGGCTGAGGCACTGCCAAAGCTGTGGAAGAAGGCACTCAGCTGGGAGATGAACGAGCGACCGACGGTGCCCTGGGGAACTGGGAACAGGTTGGGGCGGAAGTGGACGACAACCTCATACGCCTCAACGATGGCTGTCACAGAGTCTTCCCCTGTCAGTTCTCCAAGTCGGAATGCGGTGCGGTCCAGTGATGGGAAGACTGGTAGGTCGGGGACCTCTGCACCGTCTGCAGATCCAGCTGGGCCCCCAGTGGCTGTTGCGTCTGTGTCGAAGTTGGGAGTGCTAGAGGGTTGGCTTTCACCTGCATCCAGTGTGGCCAATAGGTGCGTTGCCTGGCTGTCGGTGATTGTGTCAGGGTCAGCGACTTGGACCGGTGTATTACTAGCCGAGTGCAACTCCTGATCTGTAACGTCCGGATTCGGCGCCGCCGCACTGCTTGCTGACCTGCGCTCCACCACAGCAATCCCGCTTGCATTCATCATGGCACCATCGGCACACTCCACGTCCGCTGGCTCACGCACTTGGCTGGCAGGTTCGACATCGACATCAGCACTGTCATTGGTGTCAGGCGAGTTCGGCACCTGAACATGTACGGGTACTACGGAGCTACTGCCAGTGCGGGTACCGGGAGACGAGCTCGACCGGGCTGTGCGAGGTGGTCCGTGACCGTCTCTGCACTCTGCAAGTAGGGTGGTGGTGAGTACTGCGGCTGCACTCTCGGTGACTGCTGCCAGTGCTGGCTTGTGCACATTCGAGACATTTGGTACGGGTACGGAGTCTAGTGTCGTAGCTGTGGTTGCTCTGTTGTCGGAGCTCGTCGACGTCCTGCTGATAGTATGGTCCGGCACCGTATCACCAACAGCGGGTACGGTAGCTGTGGACGTTGGTTGAGAAGACGGTTGGGAAGTCGGGGAGCTGTTTCGGCACTTGTTCTTCTTCGAAGGGAGACAATTCCGACACTCTCGGCCCTCCTTCATGCATTCGCACCGAACGCAGGTGCCGTTGCCGTTGCACCGGCAACAAGTGGCACCCTGCATCGGCTGGTTTGCGGGAGAGGCACGTTGAAGTCGGAAAATCCACTGAAAACTACGGAGCTCGAGAAACGCGTACCTACGTCAACATTTCAAAAAAAAACAGACGTATGATCTGAAAATTATTTTAATGTAGTCTTTGGCACCTATGATCAGGGGATGGCCCACGCCTGGTAAAAAAAAACAAAAACAAAAAGAAACAATGAGAAGTTGCGTACAAATCGTGTACAGACTAAACAGACTATGGATTCGAACATAACAGAGTGGAAAACCGGAATCCGAGAAAACGATAACAAGGACCACAGAAGCATCTGAGTCAATGACTCTCTGGCGGGCATCTTGAGACCGTGGCCTGCGGTGACCACGGAGGCTGGCATTGGAGGCACGAACAAGAGAAAAGGAAACCCTTGACCTAATAAAGGCAAGAAGTGAGGAGAAGGGCTCCTTTCTCTTGTCGGCGAGCATAGAGGCGACACGCTTGAAAAAAGCGGAGGCGGACTTGCCGTAGCCGCCGGAAGCGCTGAACACAATGGGAGAAAAAGACGCGTGTTCAACTCCCGGACGCGTTCTTCGTACGCTCCTTTTCTCGGCCTCATGCTTCCGGTAGGTGGCTGTGATGGACTGTTGGCGGTTGGAGCGGGCGTGCGGGTTGAATACCCGGATGTCCAGTAGTGCCCGTTCGAAACGTCCACCCCAGACACCCGATGCGGCCATATCCAGGCGGGCACCATCCTCGGAGATGGCGGAGCGGTGACGGAAGGTCTCACCGGTTAGCGGCTGGAGATGTGGCTCGACCTGGACATCATGGGCCACTTCACGCAGGAGAGATGCGGTGAGATCCCGAAGGTCATTATGCCGCATGGCGGGGTAGCCACCAGTTGGGCAAGACAGCGCGTGTTCCTGTGAAAGCGCTTTGCCGCACACACATTCTGTTGGCAGGCCTGGAGGGGTCCAACCATACCGTAGGCAGAGAGCGTCCCAGAACGCCTGCTTGTGTAGGTTGAAACCATACTGACGAAGGGGCCGACAGGTCAACCAGCTGGAGGCGCCCTTTTCAGCAGCAAGATTCAGGGTGCGCTCTGTGGTGCTGGTGGAGGTGGCAATGACCGAGGCAACCGCTTCCTTTGCCAGGCGCCGGGACTGGGAAACAATCTCTGCCTTCGCTGTGATGGTGGCAGCTGGGACGCCTTCTGCTGACTGATCTTGCTGGAGGATCTTCTGCACGAGAGACTTGGTAATATGCATAGAGTCCTGGAACTGGGAGGCAAGGGAGGATGGGTTGACGATCCCCAGCCCTCCGTCCCTGCACGGTAGGGCCAGCATGGCACGCTCGATGTCTCCTGGCGTGACGCGGTTGATGATGGCAGGGATGAATTTGGTACGGATTCTTTCCTCCAAAGGTGCGAGCAGGTCGGCCGTATTTGGCACTGTCCGGGCGACAAAGGACCACTGATGGCGAACTCCCTGGCCGAAGGCAGCAAATGCCGCTTGTGGTTGGGTGCGGGCGAACTCAGCCAGAACATCCACTTCGCGACACTACTCATCCACCTTGCCTGACACATATGCCGAACAGAATGTTGGTGATCCGAGGACGGCACCTAGGTGGCGACACCCATCCGACCGGATGTCTATGCTGGAGTCCTGGAAGATTTCACTGGCTCGATCTAAGCACTCGGGCTTCACCAAAAGTATCGCCATTTTGGCGTTGATGTAGTATCCATAGGATGGACCTTCTTCTTCCAGGATGGACCACCACTTATGAAGCCTGGTGAGAGTGCTTGCTGCTGTGGAATCATCTGCGAACCACGCTTGTACGGCTTTGCTAGAGGCAGCACGACGGATGAGAGGCACGGTGCCCAACGCATACATTGCCATTGCGAGCGTATCGCCTTGTGTAGTTCCTTCACAGGAGAGAATGGTCTCGCCACCGACGAACAGCCGGGATGGGGACCGGTACGTATTGACGATGGTGGTGGACGTATGGACGTATGGGGATACAGTACGGGGATATGCTAACGTACGGAAGTACAGTAACGTACGGGGATATGCTAACGTACGGGGATACGCTATACGCTGCATCACCAATGGAATGCCCTAAATGATGGCCTACATGTAGCGCCTCTACATGTTCATCATATCAAATTCAATACCATATTATACGCATTGATGTGCAAGCCTTTCTATGCAGAAAATGGCACTACATTTATACTCTTAATTTTATAGTCTTGCATATTCATGTTCTTCTGCAGAGGAATAATATGGGTAGCTAGGGGCAGTAATACTTTTCTTATATGCAGGTCATTCTGTGGATGTTGCTGTTGCAGAATTTCATGACTGTCTTAAAATTGTCTTGTCTTTCAGAAAATTCAGATGTCCACACCCTAAATCACATTTACTTGAGAATTGTAACCAGATGCGTGCCGCAGATGTTTTTGTTGATTCTGTGTTTATAATTGTAGTCATGGGTTATCGTGATAAGGTCATCCGGCATCATATTGTACTGATATCGTAATCCTGTTGATGTCAATAAAACTTTTGGAAGCAGTTCAATGACTTCAAAGTGTGACAAGTCCACGATTGTCTAAAACAACACAGCAAAGTGGGAACAATAAACATGCCCCTCCTTTTTTGGGTACGATGGCGGGCGTGAGCAAATTTGTAGCTCCTGGCTCAGCAGCATCTGTTCTCTTCCCCAAGGATCCGAGTGGCCCAAGGACCACGTTTTCTTCATTGAGGAGCTATCCAAGAATGGAGTGAAGCCAGAGGAGTTGCTTCTAGTGGACTTACACGGAAAGCCAGGTTGGTGTGTAGTAACGTTGTCCTGCCCAGCTGTGAGAGATAGGAGGGAGGTTTAGTCCCACGTAATCCGTGGGTACTTTACGTGGGTGTACCATGTGATACTCAGTGACCCACGTACAGACGTTTTCTGATTCACGACATGCCGTGTATGGAGGCTCACCCACGTTCCGCCAGAACGTGGGTGAAAATTAGAATGGAGCGCATTGTGCAAGCTGTGAGGGTGCTCAGCTGAAGAAGTTTCCGAAGCACGAAATCAAAATATTCGATGAGCTTCTTAGGCCCGGGTAGCTTCGTCTTTGACCAGGTTTGGGCCTTTCGCTTTATGCTTTTGTTTGTTCCGTGTGACTAAACACAACATTGCAACGTGGGTGCCCTTCATCCACTTTACGTGGATCACCCACGTACGCGTTTCCGTTACGTGGGAACTAAACCTCCCTAGGATCGCGGCAAGTGGAGTCCGGATCGCTGGTAAGGATGTGCATGTTATTGTTGGAGGCAGCCAAGTCACTGTGGTGTCCTTGTTCGGCTGTCCCTTGCATTTACACGATGGAGCGTTAATCAATTCTTTGGAGGCACATGGGAAAGTTTTCGGTCAGCCGACGAGGAAAACAGTCAAGCATGGAGATTATGCTATCGAAACAGGAACAAGGCAGATTCGAATCAGCTTGCAGAAAGGAGTACCGAGTACGCTGAGAGTAGGTAGTGTCACTGTACGTACATGGTACCCTGGCCAAGTACAGACATGCTACCTCTGTACACAGACTGGCCACGAGGCAAGGTACTGTCCAACACGCAAGAATAGCAACCAGGCGTACGCAGGGGCCGAGGGTCAAAGCAGCCAGACCCAGGCAACCCCAAACACGCATGCAGGAGAGAAAGCACTGTACTCACAGGTCACACAAGGTCAGAGCAATACGCAAGAACGGCATGGAAATACCGTAGCGAACACAAATGAAAGTGCTGAAGGCGGACAACAGGAAAAAGACGCATCAACCCCAGGCCGGGGAGAAATACACCCGACCGAACACGAGGGAAAGCACCCCCTCGACGGGATCTCAGAAACCTCACAGCAGGAAAACGATACCTCCAGCACAGAGCAGAATGAAGAGACAAACCGTACATGTGCCTCCGCTGTTGATGAGCGGCATCACAGGCACCCTGACCCCAACAGCGCGGAACAAGCGACTGGCGATGAGTCTCTGCCCCAGGAAAGCCGGTCCGTGCAAGATGAACAACAATCATCTGTGGACTCAGCCAATCCTACCCAAGGGCTGCAGCAGCAACAGCAGCAGGCCTCTACACCTGTTGCTCCATCGCTGCCACCACCAGCCGCCCACTCATCTCCAGATGAAGAAGGTTTTACCCTAGCATCGGGAAAGCACACCTTCGCACCCCATGTCCTGACCCCCACCCAGCTGACCCCCGAGCAGCAGCCAGTATTCAATGTCGACATACAACAGCAATGGGCAAAGCAGGCCAGCGCGAAAGAGATTGCCGATGTTGCCAAACGAGTAGCCGCAAGTCATCGACGGCACTTGAGTAAGTAAGCATCCTAGTAATAGTGGTCAGGAACATTTTTTGCGCATATCAATCTGTATTCTACTACTGTGCTGATTCTGCCGACACTCTTACAAATGGCGTCTCTTAATCCCCTAGCACCCAGCTTTTTCCCCTCTAAGTCAAATCTAACCAGGCCTACCAGTATATGTCCTACTCACGATGCAGAACCCCTCCCTGCCCTTCTTGCTGATGTGACATCTAGAAATCCACCCTACACTCCCATAACACATTCATTCCACCTTAGGATAGGCCAACTCAACTGCCAAAGCGCCACTCATAAGATCCCAGTCATTGAGTCGCTACTACACACTGCGTCCCTTGACCTCCTATTCCTCTGTGAGACGTGGTTTTACCAATCACTGCCGGATGCAGCCATCTCAATTCCCGGATACAGCCTCCTGCGTAAAGATAGAGACGGTGCCCGACACTCCGCGATAGGCGGAGGACTTGCTGTTTATATTCGACAATCGCATATGTGCCATTTCCAACGGCGGACCGACCTTGAATGCAAACTGGAGCACATTTGCGTGGAATTCATAGAATCGCAGAACAGTCGAAAGAATACATTCCACATGTTTTACAGGCCCCCTCACCGATCATCAGCAGAAAAACACGACTTTTTTGTGTCCTTCCAGTCCACCATTGCCAACGCACTGTCAGCCTCAGGCACGACAGTCATTCTCGGTGATTTCAATGCCAAACTCCGACAGTGGAACGCAACAGATGTTGATACAGCAGAGGGCAAACAGCTAGCAGGATTGTTAGACGACCTTGCACTACAGCAAATTGTCCGAAACACCGCAACGCGATACTCAGCTACGGGTAGCCAGTCATCACTTCTTGACCTGGTTATCACAGACGCAGAGCATCGTATATCCGACCTTGAAGTCCTAGATCCGCTATCAGACCACTGTCCCATAATCTTTAAATATCTCTCAGGAAAGCACACCCCAAAGCACCCGCCGCCCCGCTTTGTACCAGACTACGCGAACACTGACTTTCAATCTCTACGACAGAAACTTTCATCTCTTCCACTCCGGGAGTGTATGCTCGGTGCTTCCACCATCGAGAGTGCGTGGTGGGCATGGGAGTCATGCATCACACAAGCCATTGCCAGCTGCTTAGCGTACAGACGAGTTTCATCTCGAAGACAGCAAACCAAGCCTTGGTTCACCCCGCATCTGCATCACCTTCATCGCCAGAAGCAGCGCCTTTTCCGTGCCGCCAAGCGCCGCCAAGCGCCACCAAACAGTAGCATACTGGTTAACCTACAAGGCCCAGAGGAATGCATATCAGAACCAGTTAAGAAATGCCAAGACCCTGTACTTCAAGCGCCACAGTGAGAATATTCACGATGAGCAAGATGCCCACCTTTGGTGGAAGAAAGCCAAGACACTTGCCAACATCTCCTGTAAGAAAGATAAAGTTCCTGACCTAACGTGTGAGGGCTACACGGCACAGAGCGAACCAGAGAAAGCAGAAATGCTCGCGAAGGTATTTGAGCGCCAGTGCACTCCTGCTCACGGTACAGGTCCAATACCAGCACCAGCCGACGACTGTCCGAATGAAGTATTCTCTCTGCCAGTCTTGGCCGAATCCTCAGTGTACCGGGTGCTCCGAAGGCTCCCGCAGCATAAGGCAACAGGCGGGAACATCTCGAACAGGATCCTCCGAGAGATCGCACCATGTATAACGTCCTCTGTTACCAACCTGTTTAACGCTAGCCTCACCTTAGGTGAGTTTCCTAGTGCCTGGAAGCTGGGAACAGTAATCCCCATATTTAAAAATAAAGGTAACCCGTGTGATCCCTCCAACGCCGCCCTATAACCCTACTCCCAGCTATTGCGAAAGCACTAGACAAGATTGTCGCCACCAAATTCGGTCACTATCTCGAGGTCAACAACATCATTGTCCCGGAACAGTTCGGCTTTGTCCGTGATCGCTCCACAGTTGACCAGCTGATACAGCTCACTACTAAGATCACCTCGACCATGGATAAACGCATCCCTTACGATGCTGCATTTCTCGATTTTGCGAAGGCCTTCGATAAAGTGCCGCATGACGTGCTTCTCCAGCAACTCGGGACTATCTGCGATGCTCCGGCTACGAGTTGGTTTAAGAACTACCTCGATACGCGTACATTCAGCGTCCGAGTCCAACACCATCTGTCCTCCCCACGTCCCGTCAAGTCTGGAGTACCCCAGGGTTCCCACCTCGGGCCATTGCTTTTCCTGGTACATATCAACAGCCTACCCAGTGCCTCGAAACGCAACCAGCACGCTGATGTTTACCTGTTCGCGGATGACACCGCCGTCGGCCAAGCACGAACCAAAGGTACCAGCCCAATGGAGACTGCCCTGCAGGACACATTTGCCTGGGCCGACCGAGTAGGCGGAACCTTCAACCCATCGAAAACCGTTGTTATCTCATTCGCTGAGGAAGGAGCTGCAGAGACCATCTGCGGTATCCAGCCGTCAACCAGTCACCGTCACCTGGGAGTGTTGTTGAGTGAAACACTTAGCTTCCAGGAGCATATTGAACAGACAATAAGCAAGTTTAGACAACGCTGCGTTCTTCTGTGCCATATGGCTGACCGTTTAACAGGAGACATCGTCAGGAAGCTGTACCTTACGTATGTCCGCCCCACAGCAGAATACGCCGCCCCAGTATGGGAGTCCTCCCTCTCTGCTGCACAGCGGCTCACCCTTGAACGGCTGCAAGCCAGAGTAGCTCGCACAGTCATGCGGCTTGAGAGATGCCCTTGCCCATCAGACGAGCCCAAGTCATCATTGTTTAAACAGCTGGGGTGGCCAAGTCTATCCTGGCGCAGGAAGATCGCCTGCCTTATGGAATTCTTCCATTTGGTCACCACCCAACCAGAACTTTTTGAAGCAGCGGGATACTGCCCCACGCGTAGTCGCCGCCACCAACTCGCATTCACTCTGCCACGGGTTGGGAAACACGCCGGGAGGTCATTTCTCTTCCGCACCGCTACTGTCTGGAATGCCTTGCCCGCAGACCTGAGAGCCACAGCCTCGCAGTCCCTGTTTCACAGTCACATTTGAACGCACTTCTCTGACACCAAACACAATGCCACTCCTCACTGACATGCCTCTGTCCTCCTTCTTTGTGCGTTGCGCTTATTCTTATTAATTTTTGTGTTTCTGTTTCGGTACATTTCGTATTTCAAGGCATATCCCGAGGCTATAGGTATCATTGATTAAAGGACCATTCTGGAACATTCAGCATAATTGTATTTCTCTTGCTAGGCTGTTCATTACGAATTATTAGCCCTCCACTGTCTGCTATCTCAACCCTACAGCCTCCCAATATAATGGAACTCCCTTCAATTTAGACTACGTCTTTGGGAAATCCTCAAATATAATTATAATAATAATAATTGAATATGAAGTTCTCCCAATCCTTTCCAAATAATAATAATAATAATGTATTAAAATGTAAACAACTACATTGGCCCACACCTCGTTCCAACAACTACACTGATCCTGAGGATATAAGGGACAGGGATATTATGGTTGGAGGTACTGAGAGATAAACAAGGCACTCCATAATAATAAAATGTTACACGACTTTGGGGGAGTATGAATGATATCCAGTCAAACCTCTTTAGGACGAACATCAAGGGACCGATGGTATCTGTTCTGTGAGTTTGTCTTAATTAACTATATTATTTTTATAACGAGTGAATACAATTAGTTCTCCAATAGAGACACGAATAGATTTCTTCTACAGCGAAAGATTCGAAGCCAGACCAAACCATTGACTCGTCTTGTATGAAACAAATGAGTCACTGAACCTTTCTTTAGCAACATGATGGCAACTGAAACAACAGAGAAAATACGATACATGTCCAGCACATTCTTGCAGGTACTACAAACAGATTGCAGATCGTAATCCTTGCTCTGCCGGCACGCCACTTTATTTGGGGCAGTGCAATCTCGGCGCTTCTCACAAATCAAACAGCCCAGACTCGAGTAAACAAATCCAATCGTACGAGATTTTCACGAGACGAGACTGCACCCATTGGCCTGTTTCGTATGAAGCAAACAAGTCACTGAATGCATGAACCTCTTCATAATGGAGATTTCCGCTGATATGCGAATTTATCATGCATATTCGGCCAATGCGTCCTTGAACCCTTCCCTCCAGATTGGGAACTGCCAACGATGCTATGCCACTGCAAAATTCAGATTCTACCCTATGATCGGAGCACGGAATGCCGGAAGCAATCATGACCAGTGCCTTACTTGTAACGTACCAATGTACAATGAACATGAGTATTTCGACAACACATCTAAGCCTCAGCAGCAACATCAGCCTTACCGTCAAGAAGGTGAACTCGCGTTCTTCGCACACTGTTGGCAAGGGCAAACAGATCCGAGTGGATCTAAATCGGAATAAAATCAGCACACGTTTCCGTAAATGAAAGGGTGCCTTAGAGTTGGCATAAGCAAATGAATCGAAGGAAACTGGTCACCTCAGAGATCACCTGTCATTGAATATTCCGTAAAAGGAGGCCTCGACCGCAGAAAAGCCAAATTAAGAAAAGAGATTCTGTCAGCTTTTCCATTATTTATTGTATTCCAAATAAACTCAGCACACTTTTCGTAAATGAGAGAGTCAACACAAGTAAATGAACCAAAGGGAACTGGTCAACTCACCTGTCATGGAGTAATTATAGCAATAAAAACTGCTTTATGGCAGTTTTCTAAAAACAGTTATTGTGTTCTAGTCCATGGACCCCGTCTAAAAAGTAAGAAATTAAGGTGGCTCGCGCCTATTTCTAAACTCGTCTTCTGCGCAGGTTCTCGCGCATCCTACGTTCGGGAAAAGTGCATGCGGAGTTGGCGTAGCGAGCTTGTAGCGCACTCCAGTTTCGAAGGGTCCAGCTCGAGCAGATGGCCTGAGTACGAAACTCTCGTACTCGAGTCTAGAGAGTGAGCTTTTTTCTTCTTTTTTTCACTCC